GTTATACACTGCCTTTTTTTGAGCCCCGAAAAAAAAAATTGTCTCAGATCGACCCGGAAAAAAAATTTTCTTATAGAATGTGGCCTGTAGAATCCATAATTTCAAACAGTTCCAAGATCGGGCTACTAGTTCAAAAGTTACAGCCCTTTGAATTTTTTTTCGAAAGTGGTTTCTAGTCTATAACTTTTGATAATAATAATAATAATAATAATAATATATTTTTCATGTTTTGCACAGTAGCGCTTACATTCGTCAAGTTTTATCTAGTTAAATAACATATGTAATGTACTTATATTTATTTACTTAATACAATAGTCAATTTAAATTTACAATCACTCTGATTCTCTAAAGCCTTCACTTACAAATTCTTGTGTGGAAAAATATGCTTTTAATGTTAGGTATCGTTTAAGAGTTACTTTTAGTTTTTTTGTATCATATGATTGGATACTCTTTGGTAGAAGGTTAAAGAATTTTTTAGCTTGGAAATAATAATAATAATAATTTTTTAGAGCCCTATTGATAGGTACGTTGACTTGTAAATAACTATTATAAATAGTTTTTTTATTAATAAACCGACTTGACTTGAGTATTTCCGTATATCTACATTATTATTGATTAACAGTGTAGCCTTTAGTTTAGAATAGGTCGACCAAAGTGTTGGCGGCTTCCATTGTTTTGATTTTTCTTCCAAATAACATAATAACACCCTTTTCACTAAAATTTCCAACGTGTTTTTCGGTTCTCCATTTCATAAATAAATCATATTCCTTCAAATATTGGTCCTTGGACTTTTCGGGTAACAGATTGGAGGTGGCGATACCTGCCGCGTTCACAATTTCGTCGGGGGTGCATGAAAAACTCGCATCACTGTCCATTTCCATCGTTCAAGCACACAAATTACACAAAACACAGCGAGATGAACTTAATACGTACTTTGTAATTTTAACAAATGTCAGCGAGTATCATAGCAACGGCGGCCTCCTATGTTTCTTGTCTAAATAGTTTGCGTTAAAAAAAAAAAGTATGAATTGATTTGGATTCTACGCCCAAATTAATAAGAAAAAGTGTTTTCCCGAGAAATTTTGGTGTAGTCGATTTTTGGTAAAAAAGGAAGGTTTTTTTTTTTTTTGAACCCCGAAATAAAAATTGTCTCAGATCGACCCGGAAAAAAATTTTCTTATAGAATTGGCCTGTAGAATCCATAATTTCAAACAGTTCCAAGATTGGGCTACTAGTTCAAAAGTTACAGCCCTTTGAATTTTCTTTCGAAATTGGTTTCTAGTCCATAACTTTTTTTTGAGAAGTCTAATCGAAAAAGTTCGAATTGTTTTGGAGTCTACGCACCAAAGTTAATAAGAAAAAGTGCTTTCCCGAGAAATTTTGGTGCAGTCGATTTTTGGTAAAAAAGGAAGGTTATACACTGCCTTTTTTTGAGGCCCGAAAAAAAATTGTCTCAGATCGACCCGGAAAAAAAAATTTTCTTATAGAATGTGGCCTGTAGAATCCATAATTTCAAACAGTTCCAAGATTGGGCTACTAGTTCAAAAGTTACAGCCCTTTGAATTTTTTTTCGAAATTGAAAAGAAAAGGTTATACCTACACAGGGGCGGACTGGGGACTTACGGGCCATTAAGCCATTAAAGTATTACTGGTGCCGGGGGGGGGGGCAATTAGAAAAACGTGTTAATAATTTATTAATAGTGCAAGAAAATACAGCACATACTTATAAATTTACAACGGGCCATTATGATCTACAGGCCAGGTGGCAATCGCCCCCCCCCCCCCCCGTGCCAGTCCGCCCCTGTTTGTGCCAGTATTCACACATTTTACACGTTTTCTTCTGATTACCTAAAGTAGTAGTGGCTCGTACAGCATCTACTTTAGATTCATTATCTAGGATTTTCACTTGATCTTTGCTCGTTTCTGTCGCTCTGCAGAAATTAATTGCTTTTGTTAACGTCAGGGGGCCGATTTTTGGCCGTACGTTTCCTTAAAACGTATACGTATTCGTAAAGAAACGTATATTTTCAATTTTTGACCATACGTTTATATTGCGTATACGTTCAATTGTGTTCGTTTTTCTGCGAGCGGGTAAATGGCGTTCGCAAACGCTCGCAACTGACGTTTTGTGGGTTATGTATTGGTTAGTGTTGAAGTTTTGACTCTTGAGACTTGAAAGGTATCTACTAACAACAATGGATGAAGCTGTGAATGTGTTTGTAATAGACAATTTAGAGAATGCCGAACGCAATTATCGCCCGAATAGGAACCGTAATCCTTGCAACCCCATAGAAGTCTTAAATGAAGCACAATTTATCAAAATGTATCAGCTACTTCTTTCCATGAGTCTTGCATTTTCTTGCACGTCAGAGTCATAGTTTGTTTCCCTGCTATTATATCGGGGTGGTTTTTAGCAAACTCTACTAGCCACCCTTTTTGGTTTTGCGTGGTATTGCACCCTCGCTTTGGCGTGTCCATCGTGTTTTCAGTATTCATGTAAATCAGTGCCTATAAAATATTATTATTCTCTAATTTGAAATGACTGAGCAATATCTTCACCTCACCACCTAAGCTCAAACCCAAACGTCAAATAGTCCGTTTTAGTTCTAATCGATCAATAAAGGCGACGTTGTCATATGCACTGTACGTTTCGGTTCCAGGCAGTTACGAACAGTAGTCAAAAATTGCATTTGGAAAACGTATACGTTTTTAAGTCTTCACATCTAAGCGTATACGAATAGATGCGACTGGTTTCAAAAATCGACCCCCAGGTCAGCTACTTGCATTAATCTCTCCTTACTAGACGTCTCTCTCAATCCTATAACAATTCTATCACGAATCATTTCATCCTGATCTTTCTATCCGGTAGTTTTGACAGCTTTCCTAAGTTCCGTCAAAAAACTATCGAACGATTGTCCCTCCTTTTGACATATTGTGGTAAATTTTGCCCTTTCAAATATGACATTTCGCTGTGGCGCACACTGGTCATCAAATTTCTTCTGGATTTCCGCTAGGATCTTTTCTTTGCCTGCCTCAAACGTCAAACTATTAAACAAATCCAGTCCGTCATCTCCAATTAACGACAAAAAACATGCGATCTGCACATCCTCATCTTTACTGTCTAGGTTTGTTGCCTTTGAAAACAACGTAAACTTCTGAGAAAGCCTCTTCCAATTCTCAGATATATTTCCATCTAAGACAAGCGGGTCGGGTGGTTTGAAATAGTTTTCCATTTTGGCACTATAAGCGGCACTTTTTTTCAAGGTCAAGCAAAATCTCGGACTAAAATCAAGCTTGAAAATTACTATTCATATACACGCCTTCACTACGCAGGTTCACTGGCTACCTGACACCATGTATTACTTGGTAATTATTGTAATTAAATATAATTTATTTCTGGCAAGTCATTACATTATTATGACAACATCAAGACATAAGTTACTTGATACTTTTTACATAATAATAATCTATACTATTATACAACGGCATTGATTAGAATCTTCCATTTGGATCCTCCAGTATGGAATTTATCGCTGTGTAACTCCTCAACGCTTTTCCGCATCATTTACGTCAGGCTTCTCTAATAGGACGCCCAGTATTTCAATAAATGGTTGTGCTACTGGTTGGTTTAGAAATTTTGTTGGTTTCTGCGCCTATCCTCCTTTTGCTTGTGATCATGAGAGCGACCGTTTTGTTGGGGAATTTCGTTAATTTCTTCTCCGTCATTCATGTATATATTTATTACGTTTACCCCTTCCATGTTGACCACTTCTAAAACCCCATTATAGATAATGTTCCACAACAGTGGACCTAAGATTGACACCTGCGGCACTCCCGCACTTACAACTATGGTGATGTCGCTCCCATCCAGTTACTAGCTAATTATGGATCACCTGAACTAAGTACTCGGTTGTTTTGAGTTCTCCAAGTGACCAAATTATCGCCTCTCTGCACGCAGAGTCAACTCCAAAGGCGTTGGAGTGCTTTGGTGACCAGGTTTGGTCATGGCGACAATCGTAGGACTTCGTTCCTGTGAGTCTGTCTCGAGGAAAATCGAAAAGGGACTTCTCATAAAACGGAACGAAACTTTTAGTTTCAAAGAGATTGTGGCAATCGCGCTCGCTTGCCCCAATACATTTCGTGTTATCGCTAGACACATCCCTGCTCACGTTCGCTATTAAGCGGTACATGTGTAAATTTTCGTATCTTGAACAAAATACAAATTCCAAAGAAGTACCGTTTAATTCTAAAGCCACCACCCGTTACACCACGCTCCACGTGACTCTTTGTCATTTTTCCATTCACGTTACAACTGCCGTATGAAAAACGACTTTCCCATGAACTATTTAGAAAAAAACGTACTTTTGAGTGGGACTTCTGAGTCCTCGTCTGAGTCACTCGCACTCAGAATTTTTTGAGAAAATACCTATCGGACAAGTTTTCTATTTTCCACGAAATTTGTCCCATAGGTATCTTACGATTAGGGCATTGTGCGCGGGTGCACCATCTTGTTGAAACCAACAGTTTCCAACTTTTGTTTTTTTTGGGTTATCGTTGAATTCGTAATCAAAAATGCTACTCAACACTATAGTGTGTACTTTTTTTTACGGGAGATTTTTCTGACATATCTTAGGAATTTTTTGACAGTTTGATGGTGAATGGCATTTAAAATATCTAACAAAATGTCCTTATCCTTAACATTTATTAATTTTCAGTAACGCTCTGCAAAATATCAACGATGTTTATTACAACGAAGAGGGAGGTACGAAAAATAAGCTATTACTGTTTACAACGTTTAAAAAACTCGTGGATTCCATGAGATCTTCAAAGTCAAAACTTCTACTAAAGTACGTTGCCACCATTTACGCTACTACACCCTACATAAACCAAGAAATCAAAGTTGATACCGGATTGAAATTATTTTTCCGACATAATTCGAGTGACGAGCAACTGTATTCCATCAACTCAGTATACGCAATGTCTTCAGACTCATCGACATTCACATATTTCCAGCGCTACTTGTTGGCTAAGGATATACTTTCAGTCTTGTTGCAGACTTGCCATTATGATGTTTTCGAATCATTTTTTGTTACCAATATTGGCTTCTTCATCACTAGTTTCGACACCGACAATGTGGCTATGAAAACAATACTGTGCATTCTGATGGAAGTTTTGTTTTTGAGAATCGCCATAGATAATTTCCAAAATAATTCGTGTAACATCTCCAAAGCTGCGTTTCCCGAAGTTCCCCCTTCCGAAAAGAAAATGTTGAAAACAATCACAGGTCTGATTATACAAATTGGAAAGGAAACAAACGTAGACGATGCAAGCAAACACTTCTTCCGTTTGTATCAGTGCCACGCTTACAACGCCTTAATTTCTATAATTAGTAACACCCAGACAGATTTGACCTTTTACAATTTACTTTTTAACCGAGAAACTCTTTGGTCGAAGATTGTTGACACTGACCGGCTGTACAATTTCGCAATCGACTTCGACACGATTCCTTCGTTAAGGAAGAGTGTGGTTAACATACGGCGCTCAATGGCGGATGAAAAACGGAAAACCAACCCCGACTTCTCTTCGGTGAAGTACATGCCTTCGCAGCACCTATTCAACAGTACTTTAAGCGAGGATATAACTAAATTTGACTTCACGCATTCCGTGCTGAGAAGTCAGTCCGATGAGCAATCGACCAAGGCCGAAAGTGGTGCTTTTTGCGAACGGGAGGTTGTTTTGGAAGGTGTGGAGATCAATTTGCACGAGTGCATGGCGTCCGTTTGCGGATTATTCCAGCATATGGCCGATATTGGTCTTTTACCCTTGGATACCGAAGACGTCGCCATGCCTCCATGGCTTAAGGCAGTGAGGAATGTGTTGATGTCCGACGTGCATAAGAATGTAAAGATCTTTTTAATAAAAGTAATTCACAACTCCCAAGATACTTTCAAGTACTTCGCCAAGTATTTGTACGGTCCGATAATTCAAGCAATTACTGATTGTGTTTTTGGAAACTCCATTAACTTTTTCATTAACGATATGGTGAGTCTGTCTTACCAGTAGTTAAACAAGGCGAGTTCTGGCACAATGTAAATCTCCATAAGCGCATTGTGTTTCTTATGGAGGATTTCGATGACAAAAACTCACTTTTTGATCGGGTCTTGATTGCGGTGTTTTTGGTGGGGTTGTAAATGTATGGGGGGTGGTTGTTGAAAAGGGTACCTTTTTATTTTTACCAAAGTTATTTAAAAAGATATTTCAAAATAAATGGCACATTATTATGGCCACTTTTTTTCCATCTACAAGATGTTAGTTTTAAATTTTAAGTCCGACATTTCGTCTCCGATTAACCATCATCAACTTTGTTTTTTCTTATGGTAGCCATTTTTACTTTTTATGTTATTTGATAGAGCATTTTTTCTGGTATTTTCAGGTATATTAGTGGAAAATTTGGTTTTGGCTACCCATCAGACACATCATTTGTTTATGGGGGTGCCATTTAAAATTTTTTTAAATATGACGCTTAGCGAAGGTCAATCAAAAATTTTATTTTTTTGATAAAGTACCTAAAAAATTATGTGACTGGAAGAGGTTCAACGAAAAAAGGTTATAAGAGCGAAATCGTTAAGTTAGGGGTATAACCTGTTACATAAAAAAGTAAGTACTCTCCAAATCAGAAATAAAATATGGGGGTGTTCCATTTAAAAAAATGCAAGTTTGATACGCCACTGGAATATAGCACGCCCCCGGTGATCAAAAATATTTTAGAAATGTGGCGACGGTAAATGTGTACAATTTTGCTCTCAGACTTTTTTCGGTATCTTTTATGGTAAAGGAATGATGATCCGAGGGGTCCCCTGTATAATGCCTTAACTGGTATAAGTGTACATTTAACAGGGCCCACAAAATCGTGCATTAATTATCCGCGCAGAGCAAAATTCACCACGCGAGAAACTTTTTTGTTGTTGGTAAAATTGTATCACATATATCGAATGAATACAATGTTTTTCAGAAGGAATTTTTAAAGAAATGGTCTTTTGTTTTTTTTTCAGCAGTTTTAGTAAATAATGCGACTTTAGGAATACGCGAACGCGCAATGGACATTATTATTTTTCAAATAATTATTACTAGTCGACTTTCAAATAGCGTTTATAATACTTATAGAACCATTAAACTTATAAAATTAAAAATATTATATACAGGGTTAGTTAGAAGTATGGAATATATCTTATTTCTTCGTTAATATTAATTTTACATGCAGACTATAATCTATAAACAATAAAATAAATTTTTATCACGTGAGTTTCGAGTAAATCACATCAAATTTCTTATGGACGCCATATTGCATTTTTATGTCACTCGATAGAGAAAAAAATTACAAAACAGCGATACTAAACACTTAGTATTTCATTAGGGATTCAATCTTACATTTTTACTTCGAAGTTTACAATGTATTTCTTATGGCAATAATTCCATGGCCGTGTCGATATGGTGACTATGCAAGACAATAAATGAATGAATTTGATTTTGATCACAGTCAGCCATGGAATTATTGCCATAGGAAATACATGGTAAACTTCGAGGCAAGTGTTTAGTATCGCTGATTTTGTAATTTTTTGTCTATCAAATGACATAAAAATCTAATATGGCGTCCATAGAAATAAGAAAGTTAACGCGATTCACTCGACACTCACAATTGATAAAAATTATAGTTTAGCACCATAAGAAAGCTGAAAATAAATTACTAAGGGTTTGTTAAAACTATTTTTTGATATCTTTGAAAGTAAATGAACGCCAGCTCATTTTTGAAAATGACATGTGCTAATTTAAGCGACCTTGTATCTCTTACGGTTTACGAGATCCCCATACTAAAACTCACCCTATTTAAAAAATGGATTGCGCATGCGTAAATTCAACTTTTTTATTTATGGACCAATTTTTCTGAAATTTTAACAGATGATGCTTCTTGTAAAAGAACATTAAAAAACTATGTTCAAAAATGGACTGCGCGTACGCAGGGTCAGCGAATTTCTACAAAAATAAAAAAATTGGTACTGCGGTCACTTTGTGCGCCCGTCCGTATTTACGGCTGTGTCACTTTCAGTTTTTTTATATTAAGAGCTATTGTTCTACTTTTTCTGTCATTTGGTTCGTGGTTCGTTATAGCGTCGAGGCTTGCGCTAAGGAAGGAATTTTTTCTGTCTCTTACAAAGACAGTTATAGCAAAACATCTTTTTTCCGCTTCTCATAATTTTACACTTTCGCCGTTTATTGTGCTATCGATATTATATTCGATTATTATCGATAACACTGCAACCAGAGCCGGATCTACATATTTTGCGCCTATGGGCCCCTAGAAATCGACGCCTCTCCCCTCCCCTTCCACTCCAACCAATTAAAAGCGTTTATACCATAACTAAAATTTATTTCAAGAAATATGCAATGTTTTTTACTCTTTACAAAAAAGTGTTAATACGATTTTCTTTCTCCTATTTGCTCAGATTGATTTAATTAGTAGTAAAAACGTGTTTTGTCAATTATGGGTCCGTTAACTTGCCCCCCCCCCCCACTGGGAGATTTGATAGTCGTATTATTTTGAAATCAATGCCCTCGTTATGCGCTCATATGCGCCACCGATAATAACTTGCGCCATTATCGTTTTTTAGAAATCCGAAAAAACATTTGGGGGGAGGGGCCAAGTGAACGTAGCCCCCCCGTACGTATTTTGTCCCTTGTAACTAGGTCACCTGATACATTTGGTTATGCGCTGAATTGCGCCACTTGCATTAAAGCTAGCGCCATTACGGTTAAGCCGTGACAAATTTTCAAAAAGTGGGGGGGCCAACTTAACGTTTTTAAAAGTTACTTTTTTTAACATCTTTTCATACGAAATTGTACTCTCAGGTATGCGCTGAAATGCGCCGTAAAAAGATATCTTTGCGCCATTATTGTTTTTTGGTTATCCTTAAATGTCGCATTTAATCTCATGCAGTCTTATCTTGCGAACAGACGACAGATTGTCAAAATAGGTAACAGTTTGAGTAACACAGAGGTAGTGCAATATGGGGTTCCTCAAGGCACTGTGCTGGGACCAATTCTTTTTAATATCTATATTAATAACATACTTGACATTCACACTAGTGGTAAAGTATTTAGTTTTGCTGATGATACAGTTGTGTTGTACAATCACTCTTCTTGGACCTATCTTGAAAACTGCGTAAAACATGATTTTAATAAAATTATTGATAGTTTTCATCATAAATTATTAACCATAAATTATGACAAAACTGTGATAATCCCATTTTCCTGCAATGCTAAATCGTTACCAACATTTGACAGCATTCAAATTAATAATCATGGCAGTATGATAAACATTCGGGTTGCGACTAGCACCACGTATTTGGGAATAGCAGTAGACTCGAACTTAAAGTGGAATACCCATGTTAATCACGTGTTGAACAATTTACGGCCGTTACTATATAAATTTAAATACTTATCCAATTTTTTAGGTGAACTGGAAATGAAAACCATTTATTATGGATTAGTTCAGTCGCGAATCTCGTACGGAATTGTCGTATGGGGTAGCGCTTACCGAACGTTACTCTACAAGTTATAAGTCTTACAAAAAAGGTTTCTTAAAATAATCTATAAAAAGAGTCGCTTGTATTCTTCTAGTTTGTTATACGAAGAGGCGGGTGTATACGACATCAAACAACTTTTTTTCTATAAAATAGTAATGAAACAATTCCGTGAAAAACATTTAGCAAACTTTATCTGCCATCCGCATTTCACTAGATTAAGTCACCGGAGTAATATAGTAACATGTGCAGCCAGAAAAAGGATTGGTCAAAAATCTATTTCTTATTTATTTTCTAGATTTTTTAACATTTTGCCTGAGGATATAAAAAAAAAACTTCCCTCAATAGTTTCAAAAATAGTGTCAAAAAATTTATTTTAAATAGGAAAGAATTTTATAAGCGTTGTTATTGATATGATATAGGGTAAAGGGTGAGCATCAGTCAGTCTTTATTTTTACATTTGGTCCATGTTTATTTTTTATTTTATTTTTTTTTGTTTTTTTTTGTTTTGTTTCAATTCGGTGTATACCATGCTTGAACCCCCACGCACAAGCTCTGCTTTTGTGGGTACCATTATTTTATTTTTCTTTTGCAAAGTTATTGTAACCATATACACTTATATATACAAAAAAAAAATAAAATAAATTATTATAATTATTATTATATTGGGGGAGGGGGGGGCAAGTGAACGCGGAATCCCCCATAACGCATTTTGCTACCGGTATTTGTGCCACTTGATACATCTGGTTATGAGCTCAATTGCGCCACTTGAATTAAAGCTAGCGCCACTACGGTTAAGCCATAAAAAATTTTTAAAAAGTGGGGGGGGCTAACTTAACGTTTTCAAAATTTACCTTTCATCATGCGCTAAAATGTGCCGTAAACAAAAATCTTGGCGCCATTATAGTGTTTCAGAATCACTATACAGGGTGTTTTTTTGGGAGCTTTAGTTAAACGATTCTGGGAAAGTAAAATAGGTAGGTTTTTAAAAATTTGTATTTATCAGTTACTCCGAAGGCCGAATCGATGTAAAATATTTTCAAAATGGACGCACTTCCGGAAATAACGGGGCCAAGTTAACGGACCCGTCAATTATGTGATTTATAAAGTGTTATTGAAACAAAGTATATCTATAGTTTGAATTACAAACAAATAAGAACCACTTGAATTTTTAGAGAACTATACTTCCTTTTTTAAATAATATAGGACATCAATTTCAAATAACGTATTTCAAGTTTATATTACAGTTTAAACAATGAAAGCATCTTAAAACCACTGAATCGTGTTTCAGAGAATCTAACGGTTACGTGGCGTTATTAATCCCCCCAGGTACGATCGTGAAGTTGAAAAAAATGGCTAGAGGGCACCTTAATTAAGCGTTTTCAACAACAAAATTTGCGGAAGAAGCCCTAAATATTCCACAATCTTACTACCCTTAACACACAACTACCCTCCACATATCTACTACCTAACAACCCCACAAAAAACACTGCAAATGACGTCACCTATAAGAAATACATTATTGAGGTTTACACCCTCTATTTTTCCATCCAACCCCTTTTATCAATAATCCCCCCCCCCCATACATCCACAAACCTCTAAACACATTTGCAACCACATACACAATCGACAACCCCACAAAAAACACCGCAATCACGACCTGACCAAAAAGTGAGTTTTTGTCATCGAAAACCAACATAGAAATACACTGCGCTTATGGAGATTTACATTGTGCCAGAACTCTCCTATTTAACTACTCTTCCCTCTTGTTTTTGTAAAATAGTGTTGTTGTAGGTCGTTATGTTAACCTCATGGGCAAGTATTACACTTCCAACCGAAGATGTTGAGCGTACATCCGAATTGTTGAGTTTCTTAATGCGCAATTGCGACACTGATGTTCGTAGTGTTTTTAAGTACAACTTGGAACTGATCAAATTAATAATTGAGACATGGAAGACTTGTATAAGTATACCGCATGATGTGATATACGAAAAGCTACAGTTACCAGAAAATTCGCAAAAATTGGATATAGGCGTTCATTTGGCAGCAACCGTTTTAGCCAATAATATTGCGCCCTGGCGTACAGGAGCATTTAAGGATTTTTTAATGGCGCTCTGCAAAGTCTTGAGGAATGACCACCGCGCAGTGTATCAACCTTGTTCCGAAGTCTTAGGAATGTCGCTCAACTTTGTTAGCCAAGATCACAACCTCAGTGCATCGTTCGAAAGGTTCAAGGAATACCTGCACAAGTGTATTGCGAAATTGTCGTCTAATGACGACAAGTTTGCTTATTGTATTCAAGGAATTGCCCTACACTACGCCCCCATTGCTGATAAGTATTTGTGCAAACTAACGTCAAAGCTAAATCATGTTCATGGCAATTTTAAAAACATCTACCTAAACATATTTCTTTCGCGCATTGATGTAATGCACAACATCAATGAGTTATCCTCGTTAGATTTTCAGTCATTATTGCTCGATGAAAATTTAGAAACTCAACTGCTGACCTTACAAATCATCGAGAAATCGGTCAACTACCTACGAGCGAACTTACTGTTGGACATTCTGAGGCACGTTTCTAAATTTGTCACCCACACATTTACATTGTGTCGAACAATTATGTTTGATATTTTCATTACCACATACAGCACTCACAAATTAGAGTTAAATTCCTTTTCGCAAGACCTCACCGAGCTGTCGAAGGATGTTTTACTGCAAGGTCTGGTTGACAAAGAGTTGGTGGTTCAAGAAAAGCTTCTACAGTTCTGGTCAGATAGAGGACATTTTCCAGTGGAAATTGACAAAATGTTCCTTCATTTGCTAAATACCATGTATAAGCCAAGCGTTGAGGAGCACTATGTGTGTTATAGCTCTTATTTATTGCTAACTTCGATAATAACTTCGGAGGAGTACTCCGAAAAATTGTTCGAACACCCCTTGTACGACTGTGACTTCCACGAATACGTTTTGAACAGCAACTGGAGGCGCCAGCACGCGTCCATGGCGCCATTATTTGCCTCATCGCTCCATTCCCAAGATGTTACGATGCACACAATGGACTATAATGTTTTGCGCTCCACTGTTTCAACGCTGGAGTTTCAACCTACTCTGGCGCCTGCGCGCGCATCAAGTAGTTTACTTTTCACTTTGACCGACGAGGCAACCGATGCGCCGGTTTTCAAAGATCCTAACGTCGTACTTCCTAAAAGGGATCACCACGAATGTTAGCTTTTAGGAATTTATATATCTATACTTTATCACAAAAATTATGCAGAAAGTCGACATCAGTCATGGGTACAGAAGTAGGTAAAGTCTGGAGATCTAATGTCCGTAAGGCTACAGTAAAAACAAAAAATAGGTACATACATCACGAATTGAAATTTTAATTGCACCTATTCATGTTCCAACAAGCTCAACCAACCAAGAAGATGTAGATACACAAAGGTTTAATTTAGTTTCCATTATGTTTCGATATTGTTCCGCGGCTTTTAAATTTTCACGACAATTTGATGAAGCTTGATAGAGAGGCATACTTTTTGTTCTCATGTCAAAGCACAATTTGAATCAACTCAGTTGTCAAACACATTCATTCGATAAATGTAAAGTTAATTAACACAAACCCATCCACCCATTCATCAAAAATCGAAGGCAAATATTGTAGAGTAAGTTAAACTTTGGCGATTAAATTTCAAGCGCGTTTTAATTCAATGCTCTAAATTGAAATGCGCCTTTTTTTATTGAATTATTTTCACTTCTTAAACAAAATTCTGTTCGAATTACACTTTCGATAAACAAGTCGGAGTAGGTTTTGTTAAAACTTATTTACTCATTTCAAATTAGTAATGAAACGGAATGTTTTTCAGAATGTTGAGTTTTCCGTACGTTCGAGTGCGCTTTGTTAATGCCCCCTTTGTACTATCATAAATTTGGATTTAAAATTCCACCCATTTAACTGTAAAACGTTTACTACAAAGCCTTATTTTGTGTAACAATAGAAATGATGTAGAAACACATTGGCGATAAATTGTTTACACTTCTCAACTAAAAACGGATTTTCATATTTTCGTTTTAACCTAAGAACGGCCGTTTAGAAAAGAAGACTCTATAATCAGCTCCAATACAGTTGCCAATTATTATTGCGCAAAACTTCCACCCCAATGCAAAGGTGAACATAATGGGGGGGAAAATTAAGAATAATTAATGATACCTATATGCCTAATATGTATTAATCAAAGAGTAATTAGGTACCTATTCTTTGTATTAATGTAAATCTTTTAGATACAAGACTTCAGCGGCTATGTGAAATGCCTTAAACGTCCAGGATGGCTTAGTCCGGCTTTATGCCTGTAATTATATTTTATTGTAATTGACCACAAGTAAACCACATGGTTTTCCCTACTACGGGCTAGCAGACATTGCCTTCAGCGTCCTAGCTTGGCACCACCGGCGCGTCGGCTTCGGCCGTTTAACCAATGTTGTTAAAATCTTCGATGTTTAATTTTTAATAAGTAAATAAAAATTAATAAGTAGTCAGTTTGGCCTAGCGGTTTAAGAGTAGGACTCTAACCTCACAATATTCCCTAATCCGCCCCTAGCCGCAACGGAACGAAAAATTCAAGATTGCGCCTTGTTTCGTTACCGTGGAACACGTGTTTTTTTCTTCTCTGTCCTACATTCAAATGGGCCTAAATTTACAATAAAAGAGTCAATCATAACGCTATACGAGCGGGAAGTTAATGATCCATATCGACCCGACGACTCGAAACGCGTCGAAATTAAATGTCTCGACTTCGATTTTGACTAAAAAAGGAATTTTAGGCAGAGTTATTTGTGCTTTTGTTGAGGGCAGAGGTAATTTTTATGTTTTGAATAGTGTGTACGTATTCCTTTTATCTTTACGTCTATTGCATCATCTAGTAATTATATAATCGTGTTAGACTATTTGCCAAATTAACGGCATTTCCGTACAGCATGGGTATTGTCAGTTATAACTCATTCTAAATATATACAAACTGCCCTTTTATAATTATACTGATCATACTTAGATTGAAATATGTTGTTTTTCAAATTACAGTATCCCTTTGTTCCTAGTGCTGGTTTTACCTACCAACCCATAATATGAATTTCTGACCGATTTACGTGTTTTTATTTATATTTAGATACATGTTCTCTTCGGGATTATATTCAATACGAGTATGCAGAATTAAACGATGTAATAAATATTATAGCGATTCGTGGATGGTGCTGTATTTGGAAACATAGATACTACATTCCTAATTTATAATTGAATTTCTTGCAGCACGTTCCTTTCTTTTGCATTAATGTGTTACTGTTTATTTACAGTGCTCTTCATCTGGGAGCGAGTGACGTACGTTAGGTCGTTGACAGTCTTCGTCTGGAAAATTGGTGGCGACCACGACCACGTTTTGAGACTATGATGGCGTTTTTATTAGGGAAAATATGGTATATGGTTTAATGGTGAGGTTTATAGAAGCACGATTGAACGATTGAAGAAGGCCCTTAAAGCAAAACGACGGAACTCATGGCGAACAATTCCCATACAGTTCTGATTTCAACGAAACTTGGTACTTGGCGTTCTTCGAATATATAAGTAACAAATTCAAAACTAATTTTTTAGACAATTTCAACTGAAACGCTTTGACTTGGCAGTAAAAAGTAAGACTCGATATGAAAAATTCTCCACTAATATTCCATGAACTCCTAGAGTTGGACGACTTTATATATGAAAAAAGTTTGTTTTGGTCAATTTTTTATTTTAGAGCTTTAAAGCAAGCAAAACAAAATATGCATCTACTACAAAATTTGTTCACGTCGGCAATTTGGATTAACTGTCGAGTGTCGAGTAAGAGAAATGCTTGTTACGTTGGATATTGGTGGCTTTTCACACTTTATGAATGAACTGCAGCGGCCTGATCCGTCGCTGTAAGGATCAACTATTTAGCTTTTCCCCGGCTTTAAAATTAACTGATGGTGGAATGGGAAACTTCGAAACTTGATCTATGTTTGCAAAGGGATGCTTAAGTATATCGCATATGTAAGTACTCTTCTTTAGTTTAGAAAAGTGGTGTTGTCGGGATCTACAAAGTAAGCACTGTTTACAAGACATTTTTCATCAGGAAAAAATAAGTCAGAATTGTGACCTCATCGAATAACCTCCAGATAGGTATTTTGGTATCAACATTTTCATTCAATTTATATTCGGCACAAAATAAATCGAAAGAAACCGTTCGGAATTTTATTCGCTTGGGCCAAACCGCAATAAATCAAAAGTAATCGCAATAAAACTAATCTGTAGGTAGTGCAAGACACGTGACTTTAACGACACCATTCAATACTAATACCGGCTAAAATCGTACAAGGGTAACCACCCTTCTTCCACAACAATGCGTTCTCTTATGAACTTTTACTGTTAAATGAAACGTTAATGATGCTTTGCAAAAAAATCTAAAGTAAGCACGTTTGACAAAAATGATATTTCACGCGTTATCTAAAAGTCGAATGTTTACTAGGTACTTTGTTTAACATATTTTAAACGCTAACAAAAGGTTAGGTTTACGTATACGTGTTTCGCGTTGATGAGACTAATCTATCGATTCCCGAAATCAATCTTTGAAGTGTTTTCGGTTCAGGTGGCAGGATTTTGGCTGTAATTTTTCATTACATTATTTAATATGCTATTTATTTTGGGAAGCATAGATATAACATTCATAACGTTGAACACGACGACCGACGCCACAAAAACCCTTGAAAAATGAACAAGTTAAAAAGTAATCGTAAACAATTTACATAAAGCGCATTTACACTTGCATTCATTTCCCATTTGTAAGATGCAACTTCTGTTAAACTCGTAAAATTCCGGCCACAAATATGAAACATAGCGTTGCACATGGGCAATCCATTTTTGACGTGCTACTTCAATTTCAGTTTATAAGAAGAATTTCATTTCAATGCTTTTCTAAATAAGAAAGTTGGAACTGCGCATGCGCAAACCTAAATTTTGAAATTGGCGTTTGATTTTCCTTTATTCCAAGTGCCTATGTATCAAATTTCGTTTAAATTCTTCCATAAATAAAAAAGGTGGCACTGCGCTTGCGCAAAAGCAAATTTTGAAATTGGCGTTTGATTTTCCTTTATTCCAAGTGCCTATGTATCAAATTTCGTTTAAATGCTTCCATAAATAAAAAAGTTGACACTGCGCATGCGCAAAACCAAATTTTGAAACTGGCGTTAGATTTTCCTTTATTCCAAGTGCCTATGTATCAAATTTCGTTTAAATTCTTCCATAAATAAAAAGTTGGCACTGCGCATGCGCAAAACCAAATTTTGAAATTGGCGTTTGATTTTCCTTTATTCCAAGTGCCTATGTATCAAATTTCATTCAAATACTTTTATAAATAAAAAAGTTTGCAATTCGGTTTATAAATGGTTGAGATGCGAAAAGGGCACTGTGAATTTTGAATCGATTCGACTCAACTTTTGGCATTGCGTATTATATGGCTAAAGCTATGCCCATATTGAATTTCATGTAATTCAGTTACTAACTAACGGAGATATAAAAGCGATCGGAAATTTCTAAACAAAGTTATCGTTCACATGGACAGATAGAGGGACAGACAGACAAAGGAACAGACGGACAGACTAACAGACAGACGACAGACAGCAATACAAAATTATAAACGATCTCTAGGATCGTTAATAAACGGCAAAGTGTAAAATTATGGAACATGTAAAAAACGGTTTGTTGGTTTTTTTACAATACCTTTTTTAGCAATAAACGCAGAAAAAATTCCTTCCTTGGTGCAAGGCCTCGACACCATAACGAACCAAATAGTGAAAAAAGTAGAACAATAGCTCTTAAGATAAAGAACTAGTAGCGTCTCATAGAACGAGCGGACGGACGGACGGATAAAGTGGCCACTATAGCGCATTTTTTTTTATTTTTGTGGAAATGCGCTAAAAAGTTTATATAAGCATGCATATTGAAGGCCATAAATAAATAAATAAATGTCGATTAAGGCAACGGCTTCCATTATTAAGTTACTAAGTTAAAATAAAGATATGTTCACAAATGTTCAGAAAATTTACGTGTCTGCCGAATTAGTGACAATAGGTAAGCGTTTTACGTGAAAAATCATCTTGTTAGCAGAACTTAAGATTTGGTAATTTTTTGCACTCTCATTTCTTCGTCATACCGTTTAAGTTGAAAG